GAGGTAACATTCATTAGAGAGACACACAGCGAGGTAACATTCTTTAGAGAGACGCACAGTGAGGTAACATTCATTAGAGAGACGCATAGTGAGGTAACATTCATTAGAGACACCCACAGCGAGGTAACATTCATTAGAGAGAGACGGACAGCGAGGAAACATTCATTAGAGACACCCACAGCGAGGTAACATTCATTAGAGACACCCACAGTGAGGTAACATTCATTAGAGAGACGCACAGCAAGGTAACATTCATTAGAGAGAGACGGACAACAAGGTAACATTCATTAGAGAAAGATGTACAGCGAGGTAACATTCATTAGGGAGAGACGGACAGCGAGGTAACATTCATTAGAGAGAGACGGACAGCGAGGTAACATTCATTAGAGAGAGACACAGCAAGGTAACATTCATTAGAGAGATGTACAGCGAGGTAACATTCATTAGAGAGACACACAGCGAGGTAACATTCATTAGAGAGAGACGGACAGCGAGGTAACATTCATTAGAGAAAGGACAGCAAGGTAACATTCATTAGAGAGAGACGGACAGCGAGGTAACATTCATTAGAGAGAGACAGACAGCGAGGTAACATTCATTAGAGAAAGAAGGACAGCGAGGTAACATTCATTAGAAAGAGATGTACAGCGAGGTAACATTTATTAGAGAGACGCACAGCGAGGTAACAAACAACCACATCTAGCATGTCTACATTCTGTGCCTTGTGACAACACAGACGCCGGCAGTTACTGTTTAGCACACTGTATCGGTGATCTCATTTGCCTCCCTCCATTATGAAGGCGTCACAGCTCCCTATTGTCCCACTGCCACCGATGAAAATGAAATGTGCAGCTCTGACTGTCAGTGGTATCTGAGAGTCTAACCCTGGAAGTCTGGCCAGTAAAGCCAGTTATTCTCACTTCTCATACTGTACACCCAATGAGGACAACGCACGAAAGCTTTACCGCCTGTGCCATGTGCTGTACTGGGCATCAGTCACAAAAGAGACTTTCATGTCATCAATGCTGATAACAAATGGGGAATTGTAAAGTGACTGTGCTGTGCAATAGGAAAACACAACCAGAAGTAGAGAATTGATTCTTATTTGTCCTCTTTGCTTCTTGCAAGGCTGCCGGCAGATTGTTCAGCATTGGGAACACTTCTGGGAGTGCCGTGCCTCCACTCCCCGGCTGCTACATCACTAGTGGGTCATGTAGTAATGTAGTGGGCAGAAGGTGGAACCACATCGCGCAGCAGGAGACCAGGCACCACACACTCCTATAGGTCAGATTCTGCCAATGGCTTTGTCTTTTCAGACAAGGAAGGTCTGAGGCACGGGGGGTTGGGATAGGTAAATATTAAAGTAGTATTATACCCTCCAGTTTTTTTCTTTGATGAAAGTAATACTTTCCACATAGAAAAATCCCTGATAAAGCTTTCTTTGCAAAATATGTATGGAAACACTTACAATGGGGGGAATCTATAAAAACTGTAACCAATCGGCTTCTCTCTGCAGTTTGTTCACTTAAGCTTTGAAAATGAAAGAGAGAAGCTGACTGGTTACTATGTGAACTGCTTCAGAATGTGTCTGCTCCAGTTATGATAAAATATAAAAACTGGAGCAGACAGAATCTGGACCAGTTGCCCGTAGTAACCAATCGGCTTCTCTCTGCAGTTTGTTCACTTAAGCTTTGAAAATGAAAGAGAGAAGCTGATTGGTTACTATGTGAACTGCTTCAGAATGTGTCTGCTCCAGTTATGATAAAATTCGCCCAATAAGTTCATTAAACAAAAACAGCTTCATATGAAAAATCCTGTACGAACGTTCGATGATGGCATCAGAAACGTGCCGATTGTCCTTCGCTATTTCGTTTTATATTTGTTTTTATTTCACATTCTCGTTTGGAATGAATGGGGTGTTCTGAACAAAAACCACATTAACTGTTACAAATTTGTTCAAGCGAGAAAAAGTTTCCAACATGCTCCTCCTCCTTATGTTTCTAAGGTCCTGTTAGAATTCTCCGTAACAGCAGGCTGTAGTCCTGTGTGGCAATGCATGCCTATGGATAGCTAGACTCCAGGAGACCCCGCCAGGCAGCAGAGCCATCCTCAAAACGGACACTTAAGGTGCCCATACACCTTACGACCATCGCAAGACTTTTGTCTTGCGATGGTCGTAAGCTTATTAAAAGCTTGTATGATCTGCCCATCTTGGACAAGCAGTTCGATTGAAAATGAAAGAGAGAAGCTGATTGGTTACTATGTGAACTGCTTCAGAATGTGTCTGCTCCAGTTATGATAAAATTCGCCCAATAAGTTCATTAAACAAAAACAGCTTCATATGAAAAATCCTGTACGAACGTTCGATGATGGCATCAGAAACGTGCCGATTGTCCTTCGCTATTTCGTTTTATATTTGTTTTTATTTCACATTCTCGTTTGGAATGAATGGGGTGTTCTGAACAAAAACCACATTAACTGTTACAAATTTGTTCAAGCGAGAAAAAGTTTCCAACATGCTCCTCCTCCTTATGTTTCTAAGGTCCTGTTAGAATTCTCCGTAACAGCAGGCTGTAGTCCTGTGTGGCAATGCATGCCTATGGATAGCTAGACTCCAGGAGACCCCGCCAGGCAGCAGAGCCATCCTCAAAACGGACACTTAAGGTGCCCATACACCTTACGACCATCGCAAGACTTTTGTCTTGCGATGGTCGTAAGCTTATTAAAAGCTTGTATGATCTGCCCATCTTGGACAAGCAGTTCGTACTTGCGATCATCGAAAGCCCGCCCCACTTAGGGGCGGGCTTCCGATGACTGCAGTGAGGGGTGGGCTTCCGATCACTGCAAACGGGCAGTGTGCGCACACCGGCCGTTCGGCAGTTGTCGAACAAGCAGGCCACTAACTCGATCCCACTTAGGGGCGGGCTTCCGATGACTGCAGTGAGGGGTGTTCGGCAGTTGTCGAACAAGCAGGCCACTAACCCGCCGTTTTCAAGCCTGCTTGTTCGACGGAAGACGTGCGACCGTACAGTAGAAATGGTTGCATGCCTTCCATACACTGTACGATTATCGTACGATCGCCCGCGATTCTCGTACGAGAATGGTACAGTGTATGGCCACCTTAAGGGTATGGGAATTACAAAGTGAGAGGCTGCATACACAAAGCAGGTGTTTTCTGTGTCCTATTCACAACATACATGTGCGGTGGTGTGCAGAAAAAACACAGCTCAACAGACATGATGTGAACAAAACCGGAGAGCTCATTCAGACTTGATGTGATGACCGCCATTTCTCAGAAACTGAACAACACCAGTCACCACTAGAGCACAGAGAAAACGATTCTGTTGTTCAGTTTGTACATTACAAATAAAGTTAACCCAATTCATATAAATAAGTGATCGTTCCACAACGATGCAGGGGGGGGATTTATCAAAACTGGAGCATGGCAACCAAACAGCTTCTCTCTTCAGTTCAGTCAAGATTTGAAAATGAAAGAGAAGCGATTGGGTTCCACGCACAGCTGTTCCAGTTTTTAATAACCCCCTTTCGCAATATTGCTGCAACCGAACACTTCCATGAGAAAATTATCACGTGGTAAAATAAAGAACATGCCATCTCAGGGACCCGACCCTATTGTCACCTGTCACCTCTCCCACAGCTCGGTCCCTTTGACACTGGTTCTATTGAGAAAGTACACAGGGGGAAATTAATCAAAACAGGAGCAGGCAGAATCTATAGCAGTTGCCCATAGCAACCAATCAGTTTCTCTCTTCAGTGTTCAGTTAAGCTTTGAAAATGAAAGGCAGAAGCTGATTGGTTGCCATGCACTGCCCTCATTGTCCCTCCGAGCCAGCAGTCACTGTAAGCAGTAGTAGGCATGCTGGGGCTATCAGTGCATGCCAGGGCTTGTAGTTCCCGGATAGCTGTTACCCCTCGGACAGTGACACCCCATAGCCGTTATAGTCATTCCTATCACATGTCTATTACTAATAATGGAGACTAGGGCAGGGAGCTCACCTCGCACGGCTCTCACGGACGTCTCTTCTTTTTGTCTTACTTGCTCGGAGCTACGAACACTGAAGTCAGCCTGGCTGGGCGGGGATTTCTAGTAGCGCCGCTTTCTATTGGCTAGGAGTTCACATAACAACAACAACACGAGCAGCTCTAGGCTGCGACTTACAGTGCGATCTGTTCGTCCAATCACAGCCGGGGCGCGGCTTTCGCTTGCCCTTGTCGCGCTAAGCGACTGGTGACGTAATGTGCTCTCCACCAATGAGCGGGCTGGCTGCTCCGGGTGCTAGGAGGACTGCGCTCTGTTTCTGAGGCCGTGTTTGGAAATGTTGGTGTGTTCGGTGGATCGTCTTGTATGGGCGATCTGCCTGTCTGTTCAGGTAATGGATGTATAGAACTTAGCGCTGACTCATATGATCGTCACAGAGCGCTAAATACAGCAGCTGACGGCTAGCTTGCATGAACACTGACCCCATCGTGTCCTCCGCATGGGGCAGGGAATAATGGGTATACATACAGTTCATGGGAGGACACACACCGATCAGCCATAACATTCTGACCACTGACAGGTGAAGTGAATAGCATTGATTATCTCGGTGCAATGGCACCTGGAAGTTGGGGGGGGGGGGATATATAAGGCAAGAAGTTAACATTTTCAGTGGTGTCACAAGGGGGTGAGGCCCGCACCCGGGTGACACCATTGGAGGGGTGACACCAAAATGACTTACAGTCAAAAAGTATCGCGCTCGGTCATGGACCGAACACCCGACAGTATCAGGAGAGACGAGGGGACCTGGCTGCATACCTTATCCCGCCGGGTGGCTGTCTCCTCTCTCTGCCGGCGTCCATCACCAAGATGGCCGCTGGCAGGTATTGGAATACTGCCGCACGTGCGCGATGACGCCATCGTGCACACGAGCGGTGACGTCACGCGAATGCGCGGTGACGTCTCGGCAGGGTGACACTCAGACACCGCTCCGGGTGTCACCCAGCCTCGGGACGCCCCTGAACATTTTGTCCCTGAAGTGGATTTGTTGAAAGCAGAACAAATGGGCAAACGTAAGGATTTGAGTGACCAGGGCCAAATTGTGATGGCTGGACAACTGGGTCAGAGCAACTCCAGAACTGCATGTCCAGGGATCCCAACTCCCGGGCGGCCGGGAGCCTCTGCCTGTGATTGGCGCTGCGCGCTGTCAGCTTCCTAGCGGGCTCGGCACGTGGAGCTGCGAACACGCCCGAGCCCATCACTACTAACTAAGTGCACCCCTTCATAGAAACTGAATTCCCTGATGGCAGTGGCCTCTTTCAGCAGGATAATGCTCCCTGCCACACTGCAAAAATGGGTCAAGAATGGTTTGAGGAACACAACAAGAGGTTTGAGGTGTTACCTGGCCTCCAAATTCTTCAGATCTCAATCCAATCGAGCATCTATGGGATGTGCTAACAAACAAGTCCAATCCAGGGAGGTCCCTTCTTACACTTTACCGGACTCAAAGGATCTGGTCCTGATGGTTTGGTGCCAGAAACCACAGAATACCTTCAGAGGTCTAGTAAAGTCCAGGCCTCACTGGGTCAGGGCTGTTTTGGTGGCAAAAGAGGGACCTACTTAATATTAGATGTGATGGCTGATCGGTGTATATCAACATGATTGTACAATCTTCATTAGATTATCCTACAAACATGTAGTTTGAAGTCCTTATTTGACTCCCATTCACACCTGAGCATTTTGTTGTGTGTTTCCTGAAGCGCATCAATGCTCCGCATAAAGAATCCCCTTATTTTTAATGGTGCTTGATAACACCAGAGCGTTGTGTCAAATGTCCATTGTAGATTGAAAATCTTCATGAGCTTCTTTTTGGGCAGAATTGCACATGTTTGTCTCAATAAACTTGAATGGGAGCACCCTAAAAGAACACATGACAGCAACTAGCTTTCCATTGGTTCAAACAAACATGAAAAAGAGGCAAAAAAAAGCTTCTAAAGCACCCAAAATACACTCAGATGTGAAAATGAGTGTCGGAAAAATTAAATAAAATGTGAATGAAAGCTTTGCCTGTAAATATGATGAGTATTAGCTGTCTAAATGACCCTGTCCGTTAGGGATGCATGATACCGAGTATTACCAGTACTCGCCCAAATGCTCCAGATACCGGGGAGCATGGAGCCGGCTTCCTTTTCAATCAGGAAGCCGGGCAGTGGGTTATGACCCGCCTCCCGGCTTCCTGATTGAAAAGGAAGCTAGCTTCACTTGTTGCTAGGCAGCCTGGCTTCCTAACCATCAAGAAGCCGGGCAGCAAGTCAACCTTCCTGATTGGTTAGAAAGCCAGGCTTCCTAGGAACAAGTGAAGCCGGCTTCCTAGCCAATCAGGGAGGTGAGTCAGGACTGGCTTCCTGATTGGCTGGTAAGTCTGCTTTACTTGTTGGTAGGCAGCCTGGCTTTCCTAACCAATCAGGAAGCCGGGTGGCATGTCATGTCTTGGCTTCCTGGTTGTTCAGGAAGCCACGCCTCCTACCAACAAGTGATGCCAGCTTCCTAGCCAATCAGGAAGCCGGGAAGCGGGTCATGACTTGCCGCCTGGCTTCCTGATTGGTCAGGCAGCCTTGGCAAGTGAAGCCGGTGTTCTTTTGCTAGAACACAGTCTTCACAGGCAACCACAAAGCCAGGCAACGGGGCACACGGCACCGGTACTTGATATCTGCGAGTACCAGATAAATAAATATAGGTACTCCTGCTTGATACCCAAAAATTGGTATCGGTGCATCCCTACTGTATGTATGAATGTGAGATAGGGACCTTAACCTTCTTGGCGGTATTCCCGAGTGTGGCTCGGGGATAATTTTCTGTACCATAAGCGGTAACCCCGAGCCACACTGGGGAATACACAGCGCGTCTCTTAACTTGTCCCTCGAGCCGCGCTGTGTCCTCCGGCCGATGCCAGCTTCCGTCTTGCGGGTTCCGTCCCTTGCAAGCGTCCGTGTCGCAGGGGGGCAGAGCCGGCGGGGGATTCAAAAGTAAAAGAAAAATAGAACGAAATAAGGAAAAAAGAAAAAATCATACCGCCAGGTAGGTTAAATTGTAAGCTCCTCGAGGGCAGGGACTGATGTGAATGTGCAACTATGTAAAGTGGTGCGTAAAACTGTCTGCGCTATATAAATACCAATAATAAATAAATAAATAACTGACATTTTTTTTAAATGTTATAAACTGACTTCCGTGTGCCAATTTCCGAGCCCCCGCCTGTGTTGCAGTGGTGTGTTCTATTTTTTTTTCCAACACAGTGTGGTGTGACCTGGTACAGTCTCATTGCACCACGCTGTGCCAATGTCACTTGTGACTGTTTAATGAAGTTTTAACAAGAATAAGTAAACAACGCATCAGCACTGTACCTGTGCCACACCCACGGCCATATGCTTAGTGCGGCTTGCTGTGGGTCATCCGACACCATTCAAATGAAGATTTACTTACCTGATCCTCGATCCCTCTGGGATGCTACACCAGTCCCTGCAGCCTCTTCTCCCCCAGGCTCTGCTGGTCTAGGGACCTGTGACATCCTCACATCTAATGCTCCATTGGCCTGCATTAGACGCAAGGATGCCAAAGGACATTCCACAGCTGGTGCAGAGGGGGAGAGAGGTGAGTGCTGACCACCATGGGTCTGAGGATCAGGAAAACAGCTTTGTTTGAGCCCCCCAGAAAATAAATCACACACTTAACCCTTGCAGTGTGGGGGTAGGCCCACTGCAGGGGTAAGTTTTTGCATCTATGGAGTTCTATAAATGTTTGAGATTTTAGTGATTGGGCTACATATACAAACGAGCAATTGACTGCAGTGTAAGAGAATGTATTCAGTGTACTCTTCCACTATTGGCTTCTAAGTGGCATCATTCATTGTTCATTATCATCCATTCTGCTTTTATTTCTGACAGTATGAAGAGGACATGGGTTGAAAAATGCAAAAATGTTGAAGAACTGGCATGTCACTATAAACGGCATCCCCTGAATTCCCCCTACCGACCCAAGCTAGCCAAGCCATGGCAGCCATCTTCAGTCTGGAGGCTTTTTCACCGTCAAGCTGCGGCATTTGAATTTGCCAAAACTTGTAAAGAGGTATGTAAGTGTGTAAGTGTGAAAATTGAATGAGAAAAGGAACCTCTTTTGGCACACTGGAACATTGATTGGAACCTGCAGGTCATCAGTTTAGGGATATGCATAAATACTGGCCCTAGAATTATTGCTCTCACTTCGGTGTGCGTGGCAATACCCAACATGTGTAGCGTGATCGTCATTTTCGTACGCAGGATCACCCGACGCGTGTTTATGTGAAGACATGCATGCTCGCAGGGGCATTTAACATAGAATTATCCAAAAGTCCAAAAGACCCCTAGTATCACCTTTCCACTTAAAATAAGATATTGAATTGCAGATCGCACTTCAATAGCTTATAGCTGGGCTTCGCTCCCGGTCCCATAGAACGTGAAGGAGATTTGTGAACAGATGTTCGCCTCTCTCCTCCCCAGCTTCCCACCAACACCTGAGATGCCGGTCCTGGGCCCGCGGGGGGGGTCAGCAGTGAAAAACTTTAGTTACAAGCCCCCCATGTGATAGCATATTGGCAGTTACAGGTCCTCTTTAAGGTGATATTGGTGGTCCAAAAGACCCCTAGTATCACCTTTCCACTTAAAATAAGATATTGAATTGCAGATATCCGGCCCGTAGAAGCGATCTGGCGGAAGCGGAGTCGCCAGAATTTCTTCTATTGTAAAGCTGACAGCCGGCTCTACAGATGTAAACAGTTTAAAAACCCCTTAAGGGCCAATGACGGAATAATTTCGTACTGGGTCCTTAAGGGGTTAATGCAACGCTTTGTCGCAGTCTCACATAAACAAACAGCTGCAGATGTTTGATGACTGCACAAACTGTCAGCTAGCAATATTTCCTGCAGCAATGTCCTCCTCATGCAGGTAGCCTGTTGGCTTCTTGAAATGCATGTTTATATAGCACCTTTGCTATTTGCATTTGCATCAAGTCGCTATTCGCATCGCCATATCTATGCTCCCCTTTGTAGTGATGCCTGGCCTGTTTCATATTTTGCTCAAGCCATGGGCATTGTACTGTGGGATGGGTGCAATGGAGGGCATACATACTCTACTGCCAGTAGATGGGGGCTCTTGGTAGTGCTAGCTGGGAACATAACAGCAGCAGAGGTGTGAGATAACCGCATAGGTTGTCACCTAACCCCAGGAGCTGTTTGTGTATGCAGACATGCTCGATTTCAACTTGTAGCAAATTTATTTACATTTTACAATCCAAATGTATGTTAACGTTCCTAACAGTGATCTGGGATTCCAGAGTTCAGGTTGAACATTTTATTTTCCTTCTGTAAAAAAAAAAGAAGTTGTTTTGTTTTGTTTTTTTAAAATGAAGACTTGAAGTAGGCAGAAATCTTACAATAGCAGAGGCCAGAATTATTCTAGAAATATGTATTTATTTTATTAGGCTATCCATGTCTTTGCCTTGGAGATTGTTCTTGATGATGCTGGAAAGCGACTGTATCTTGTGACAACATACACAGAGTTTTGGTTTTACTACAGGTAAGCATTTACACATTTAAAACATATTTTCGGGGGGTTGTTTGGTAACGGTAAGTGTGTAGTATGTTCTAAACGACTACATTATTCTGAATAGGGATGCACCGATGCCAAGTATTTGGACGAATACTCGTACTCGCCTAAATGCTGCGATACTTCCGATACCCGAACTACCGGTCAGAGGGGGACCTCCTTCTGACCAGCAGTGCCGAGGGAGCATAGAGCCAGCTTTCTTTCCAATCAGGAAGCCGGGCGGTATGTAATGCCTCACCTCCTGGCTTCCTGAATGATCAATGGCCTAGCAACAAGTGATGCCATCTTCCTAGCCAACCAGAAAGCTGGGAGACGGGTCATGACGTGCTGCCCGGCTTCCTGATTGGCTAAGAAGCCAGCTTCACAGCTGTTGCTAGAGAGCCTGGCTTCCTGAGCAATCAAGAAGCCTGACGGCACCTCATGACTCGCCGTCCGACTCATGATTGGTCAGGCAGCCTTGTCAAGTAAAGCCGGCTCCGACCGCTTCTGGACGGGTCATTGCCAGTAGCGGAACGTGGCCGGGGCCTGTCCTGGGATGCATGGGAACGACCAGCGGACGCATATCTGTCCGCAGAAGGAGACAGAATACTCGTACTCGCCTAAATGCTGCGATACTTCCGATACCCGAACTACCGGTCAGAGGGAGACCTCCTTCTGACCAGCAGTGCCGAGGGAGCATAGAGCCAGCTTTCTTTCCAATCAGGAAGCCGGGCGGTATGTAATGCCCCACCTCCTGGCTTCCTGAATGATCAATGGCCTAGCAACAAGTGATGCCATCTTTCTAGCCAACCAGGAAGCTGGGAGGCGGGTCATGACGTGCTGCCCGGCTTCCTGATTGGCTAAGAAGCCAGCTTCACAGCTGTTGCTAGAGAGCCTGGCTTCCTGAGCAATCAAGAAGCCTGACGGCACCTCATGACTCGCCGTCCGACTCATGATTGGTCAGGCAGCCTTGTCAAGTAAAGCCGGCTCCGACCGCTTCTGGACGGGTCATTGCCAGTAGCGGAACGTGGCCGGGGCCTGTCCTGGGATGCATGGGAACGACCAGCGGACGCATATCTGTCCGCAGAAGGAGACCGATGTCTGGAAGAGGAATGGCGGTAGACAGGCGGAGCCCTGGAGCGTTCATTGCCCGATCTGGATGGGCTGCCAAAAAAAAATAAAAAAAAATTCCAACTATCGCCGGTACGAGGGGACACACACATAAGCCCCCAATGAACCCAGCTTTACTGGGGAAAAAAATAACAATGCCTGCCTCGAATACCAGCAGCGAGGCTCCCCCATCAAAAGTCATTTAGGCTAAACAGAGGGACTACACCAATATGAGCAGACCAGGGTGGACGGCCAGGATATTATCCCAGCTAGGTAAGCAACCCCCCACCTCCATCAGTAGTAGGAGGAGGAAAAAAGAGGAATGCTGGGGGTTGCTCAAATTTATGAGTTAAACGTCCTATCAGGTTGGTAGGGAGGCGGGGCCATCCCATTTGTGTGCCGCCATGGAACTGTCAGGGAAAACCTGCAGAATATGTGGAAGCCACACTGCCTCGTCAAGGCCCCTCTGTGTAGTAATAAGTACATTTTCCATTTGTTTTGCTTGTATTTGGTGCAGGGACACACTGGTGCTTCAGCTGCCGTTGTGATGTGCGGGGTTCCTTACCGGTACGAGGGGACACACACATAAGCCCCCAATGAACCCAGCTTTACTGGGGAAAAAAATAACAATGCCTGCCTCGAATACCAGCAGCGAGGCTCCCCCATCAAAAGTCATTTAGGCTAAACAGAGGGACTACACCAATATGAGCAGACCAGGGTGGACGGCCAGGATATTATCCCAGCTAGGTAAGCAACCCCCCACCTCCATCAGTAGTAGGAGGAGGAAAAAAGAGGAATGCTGGGGGTTGCTCAAATTTATGAGTTAAACGTCCTATCAGGTTGGTAGGGAGGCGGGGCCATCCCATTTGTGTGCCGCCATGGAACTGTCAGGGAAAACCTGCAGAATATGTGGAAGCCACACTGCCTCATCAAGGCCCCTCTGTGTAGTAATAAGTACATTTTCCATTTGTTTTGCTTGTATTTGGTGCAGGGACACACTGGTGCTTCAGCTGCCGTTGTGATGTGCGGGGTTCCTTGAGAGTCCCTGTGTTTTGAAGGAGGTTGGGCTGCCTCCTGGCTATTCGTCTTTGTATTCATTCAAATCAAATCCGTGGGATTAAACAAGTGTTCTGTGACAAAGGGTTGATTATACACGAACAGATAATATCACCAAGTCACATCTGTTACAGTTCTTGCTATTGTCAGGCTGCATATGGTCACCTGTGTATTTTGTAGTCAAAGCGAAATGTCTTAAAAATAATCAGTATTTTTTTTTTTTCCCAGCAAAAATTCCGAAACCCTGGCTCACTGCTATGAAGTCATTCCTGCTGATACAGTTTGCAAACTTTACTTTGATTTGGAGTTTTATAAACCAGCAAATCCGGGAACTGATGGCCAAAAAATGGTTGCTCTTTTAATTGAGGTAAAGATGAATTATAGGATGAGGGTCTCTGAGATGTGGGAAGCTGTCATACTACAGATGGTGCAGGGATAGTTTCACACTTTGTTTTTGGTGCTTCAGATTCTCCATTATGGAAAAGGCTTAAAGCTGTTCATAGGGTAGCAGCTTCCCTGACAAAAACTTGTCTTTACAGCACCAGATACACAGACATTGGGTAGAATTGCACCATAAGGGAAAGGTTAGACGTGCTTTGCACCATATTGGGTAGGACCTCATTTTATTCTAATATGTGCCTTCCCGAGGTTTATAACACTCTCATCAAAACCATGGAACCGTTTTTAAAGCGGGCCACAAAATATAATACTTTTCTGTTTAAATTTGAACTCCAGTCTTCAGCCTTAAACAATTGCACAGACTCTACAGTACTAAAAAAAAAATCTTCACTGCACACTTTGAGCTTTTTTTTCAATTATTTTTCATTTTCTCTTTTAAATTTCTTTAAATTATTTTAACTTCTTTTGAATTTTCATACATTTTTAATACAATTTTTCAACTTTCCCGCCCCCCATTTATTTCAATTATTTTCTTTTCTGCTCGGTACCTCGGAGGATAGTCACTCACTGCCGTTCGGGTCCTATAAGAATTGGGGCGAACGGCAGCGAGTGAACTGCCGAACCTTCGGCTCAGCCGATCCATATGCTGGATCGGCTGAGTCGAACTCTTTCTGCACTTCGGCTCAGCATGTTCAGCTGACTGAAGGCAGCCAATGTACAGCTGAAATCAGCCGTGCTGAGCAGAGCTGAATAGCCGAACAGGGTTTGGGTTATTCACTCGGCTGTCTTCGGCAACTTTTTGAATAGCCCTGCTCGGTTGTATTTTTTTTTTCTTTTTGTTTTTTTAATCATGGATGGTCAGTGTCACATTTGGGCGTTACCTAAGGCAATCTGCATGCACATGCATTCGGCTTTGGGGTGCCCACTCCTCCAGACTTACATTCACCCCTCAAGGCATTTTCATATTAAAAGAGAACTATGAGATGAGTGATTTCCACTCATCTCATAGTTCTAGCCGACCTGTGACAATGAGACTGTCACAGGTCGGCTCAGTAGATCGGGAGGTGAGCGAACATATACCGGCGTTCGCTCACCTCTCGATCCTGTCACGGCTCTCTCAGGGGAGGGGCTGGATTCCCCCCTCCCCGCTCCGCCAGCGCTGACTGGCAGAACCGACGGGGGAGGGGGCGGGTACAGCTGACTCTGCCTCTAGATAGGCAGAGCCAGCTGTCACTCACGCAGCTGGGCGGATCCCGACGTCCAGGTCGGGATCCGCTCCGGCGTCTCGGTATACAGCGAGCTGTAGCTCGCGGTATACTGAGCTTAGGGTAACGCGAGGACGCTAGTGTGTGTCCTCCCGTTACCCTAAGGAGAACTATGGGGAAAAACACTGACCCCATAGTTCTCCTTTAACATAACTCATCCCAAGAGCCAGCACACTTGTATAAGGATGACGACTGTTGAGAGAAGTACTTTGAGAGAAGCACATAGACTAAAATGAAATATGTATTGGAAAAGGAACAAGCAAACTAATAATAAACCTCCTTCATCTTTCAATAAAGGTTTTTGTTTTTTTTGTCTAGTTTAACTTATTCTCTCCCTTCATTTTCAGTTTTTCATCAGGATGCTTCAGGAACATTATGGGTTAACATGTCCTGCAGATTGTGTAATAAATCTGGACTCCAGCACCGATGACAAATTTAGTCGTCACTTAATATTTTTATTACCCAATGCAGCCTTCAAGGATAATATCCATGTAGGTAAGTGGAAAGTAAAAATGATAAAATAATTTGCTCATTGCTACATATTCAAATCATGTGCTAAAGTCTATAAGAGCCAGTTAGTGTTATTAGATCTGAGAAGATGGAGGACAGCAATGCAGGGCGTGGAGTGACTTAATTAAGCATCACTTGAGATAATTTGACATTGTCTTTAACAAATGGGCCAGAGAACTATCCTTTTCCTCTTCTTCTCTCCAAAATTATATAGTTACTAAGAATGGGAATGAAAGACCAAATTCTAATTTCCTGGGACTGCTGCTGGGTGCTGTCATCTTGGATGTGATGTCAGCAGCCCCAACTCACAATGTATACACTATAGCAGGGGTAGGGAACCTTGGTACTCTAGCTGTTGTGAATAATCAAGTCCCATGAGACACTGCAAGACTGTGACAGCCACAAGCATGACTTTCAGGGGCCGAGATATGATGGGAGTTGTAGCTGGAATGCCGGAGTCGCCCACTCCTGCTCTATAGTATTCGCCTTCACTCTAGCCCTGGTTATGTAGGGTGGGGTGGAGGTGTTGGGCCACAACAGACAGTAATTAGACACTGCCAGAAAAGGACTATGGTATGGGAGAGGGGGCTGTGTTAGGGAATTGATTTTTCATTGAAGTCCTATTTGTTCACAAGTTGAAAGGCACACTGAAAATTAAAATAATGTGCTTATGGAACACAAAAAAACTATGTACCTTGACCTGCAATTGTATAAAGTGATACTAAACTCAGGAGTTAAATCTTAAAAATGCATTCAAGTACCTTAATTAACAAAAATGTATCTTATTTGTGTATCACTCGGCTGTAGATCCTCAAATCAGTTCTGAATTGGTGCTCACACTGTCCTTCCTTCTGAAGGGTGGCTACTTTTGTTCCCCATGGTCCCTGTGTGTGTTGTAAAGTAGTCACCCCTCCAAGCTTGCTCCCATGATGGACTACAATCTCAATACAAATTAGTAAACGCTACCCCCACACTGCAAGGGGTTAAATACTCCCCTAATCCTCAGTCCTGTGCCTGTAACCACTCTACCCTCTGGCTGTGGTATGTCTCTCAGTCTCTTCACATCTAATAGACCTGTATCAGATATGATGATGTCATGGGTTCTTAGACCGCAGGAGCCCGGGGGAAGAAGAGGATGTAGGAAGCGGTCTAGCAGCCAGGTAGGACTGTGGATCTGGTGAGTATATCTTCTATATTTTTTCCCTCTAGACAAACCGAGCAGTTAACCCTTGCAGTGTGGGGGGGGGTTGCCCCTTAAAATCCTGGAGATCTGCTTTAAGTCGGTATTATATATTGTATTCATGACATTGAGAAAATTCCTCCCCTTGAGATAGGCTGATTAATAGCAAAGTACCTCTTTGGTCAGAAGGAGACACAGAAAGGCACTGCTGTCACAGCAGGTTCCACCTTCAGTACCCTGTCTGAGGTGTGGTGGCATTGGAATTGCAGAATCTCCACAGTTCAAAAAGTTTGTTTTCTCGTATTCTTAAATTCTGTTGTGGGCCCGGAAGCCTGGGGGCTGTGGGTTCCCAGCTTTCCTGGCAAACAGAATTCACTATTAGTCCCATCTGCCCACAGACCTTTATATATGTGAGCTGACTGATGCTCAGGGCTCTCTCTGCTGGGGGAGCCTGCTGCTGGGTGAAAAGCCAGTCTGCTGACAGAACACTAAACAAAAGTTACCAGAGTCGCCTATTTGTTTTGGGGAACCAATTAGAGGGACCCTGTTGGTCATGAACTGACCTAAGTTTAGTTAGTGGTTCGAATGATCAGACGTTTAGTTTTGCCTTATGCTATGGACTTGCTGTACAAAGTCCTCCTGCGTGGTTTGCTGCCTTGCTGAATAAAAATACATGATAGACCTGCTTGGACCATATCTGAGGTTCTGTCATGTGCATGGTTTACTGCTGCCACTGCCAGTTGAGCCCGTCCCCTTACACTATGTATTGTAATTCTACAAAGCGAGAGCCTTGCTTACTCATGACATACATAGACTCAGCTTCCTGCTCCTTCTCACATTGCAAGTTTGAGTCGGCTGAGTCATTGAAAACTCTGCAATATGTGGCTGATCTCTTATCTACACCCTGAACATGAAAGTGATGGCAATTAGTCATTGAAAGCTCTCCTCCACTGGCTAATATTCAAAGTTCTACCTTTAAGTGCATCTAAAGGCAAAATTCTATTCAATGCTAAAAAACACACAAAAACCCCCCCACAATTTGGTAAGGGGTTAGAATCCCTGTCAGGTTTTTATTGCTGTGTGTGTACCCACCTTAGGGAGATTTGCCCTTTCTATTGGTCCTGGTGGTCATTGTTATAAGGACTGAAGGAAAGGGAAAATCCAAATGGCAAATCCTCCAAAGGGGACACTTATTCCAACGACAGCTGTCTAGCAGTGAATTTCCCTTGCTTTAAAAGAAAATTCCTTTGACTTCCTGCTGTGTCTATGGGACAGGAAGTTAATAGAAATATATTTCCAGTGGTAAAAAAATTACCGAAGTTTTAACCATTCTCTGCTCTTTTCTGAATGAAAAAAACAACATTTTTGTTGGTCTTCGATACACTGTAATACAATAATAACACTGAGAGCAAGCATGTAAAAATCTGAAAATGACTTTACGGAATAACTCAAAGAATGTGCTCATGAAAAATACATTGAGGGGAATTTTTTGAAACTGGAGCAGACAGAATCTGGAGCAGTTGACCAATCAGCTTTTCTCTTTCATTTCCAGAGCTTAACTGAACAAACTGAAAGGAGAAGCTGATTGGTTACAACTGCTCGAGTTTATATCTGCTCCAGTGTTGATAAATTCCTCCCCATTAGGCTGGTTAACACCACAAACAGTGCGTCCCATAGTGGTCAGGCTCTGGAACGCACTGTATCGCACTCTGGCCGGCTCCCTGAGTTTAAGGGCGGGTGGGGGCATGGCGGTGCATTCAAGTCGATGGCACCGCAGCCACGCTCTCAGTACGATCGCTCACACGCGAACACGTGGCATATTAGAGCCTGCGTTCCGGTCCAGTACGATCTGCAAAAATGCTGCAAGCACTATTTTTGCAGAACGCACTGGACTGGAACACAGGCACTGATGACTGCGTGATTGCGGTGCCATCGACTCTAATGCACTGCCACGCCCCTGAACGCAGGGAGCCAGCCGGGGTGCGATGCAGTGCGTTCCACAGCCTGACCGATCTGGAACGCACTGTTTTGTGGTGTGAACCGGCCCTTATACTTTTCCCTTTAAAGTTTATCTTTCTCAAACTGTTACTCTAGTTTATAAAAACAGAAGAATTTGTCATCTGCACTTCCAGACCCAGTAACAGTGTGTCATTGGACACTGAATCCCCATCCAAGATGTCACTGCGGCGTGGAGTGTCCCATACATATGACAGTAAAGCCTGGATGTGGGGCTTCAGATGATGACAAGTAACCTGTGCTCACAGTCTAACTCTTGGTATTCTTTCACTTTAGGTCATTTTATTAGGACAGTATTACAGCCCCTATTCCCTCCAAGTAGTATATGTACCCACACAGACCCTGGGACGTCCGTAATGGAAGCTGCAGAACTCTGTGAAAATACTTCCACCAAAGGAAAATGTAATGGCAGCATGGATGTGACAGAGGAATATTGTGACCTTTCTTCCTTTCTTGTGAGGGATAAAAATGGTGGAAAACAACCTTTTATAGACCTTGGTGAGTACCTGCCAATCTGCATAAGATTCTGTACATGAACAGGCATGCTCCTGATGAGTGCTGCCACGATGCCAAGGCTGAGGAGGTGTTATAAGTGAAATGAATCGCACAAGTCATGATTGAGGCTTCTGCTTAATTTCATGTTCTGCCGCAGCAAAATCTATGTTGCCTGCAACATTAAATATATTGAACACTCTGAAACTGGTTTCTGTTAATGGCTTGCCTAGCTGTGACCCTTCCTTGCAGCACCTTTTAGAGATGAACTCTGGGCAAAAAATAAAACTTACCCTATCAGTGGGGCTACCCTTGCACGGCAAGGGTTAGGTGCTCATTTTGTCTATAAGGTATCAAAAAAAGAGAGAAAAGTTGGGGTTTTTTAGGCATCAAATGACAACTCCAAGAGACAATAGACTGTAAAAAATTGATTTTAATGTAATTAATATTAAAAAAGCTAATATGAAGCATAAAAGCATGGTTTAGATTGTTCCCTATATGCTCACTCCATTCACCCTTCCACTACAAATGTACATCATGAACATTTGAACCAGACAATGTACAATATTAGAAATAGGGCATAATCAAGTTGAGATAATTAGACAGTACAGAACGATAAATACTGTAGGAGTGGTTGATAATGGAGGAGCAGTTGCTCAACGTTTCACGCACACAGGCGCTTCTTCAGGAGAAGGGAATATCAATATCACAAGCTGACATATACGTGTTTGAGCGGACCTATCCGGGCACCACGCCTGTACAGTCTTCACTGACGATGACAAGGATGGAGCAAGGGCCAGTACCCAATATTGAGCAGGGGGTAGGAGGTAAGTAGAACCGTGACACATGGAAAAGTTCAGACCAAGGTCGCTGGAACAGCAAGGAAGAGAGAGAGAGCGAGCGGCCTTGGGACGGCGGCGTTGGTTGCGGTTGGCTCGGGGTTATGCAGTGGAGGCTTTCTGGCCGACGGAGGGGACGGACACTGCTGCCTGCTCTCTCTCTCTTCCTTGCTGTTCCAGCGACCTTGGTCTGAACTTTTCCATGTGTCACGGTTCTACTTACCTCCTACCCCCTGCTCAATATTGGGTACTGGCCCTTGCTCCATCCTTGTCATCGTCAGTGAGGACTGTACAGGCGTGGTGCCCGGATAGGTCCGCTCAAACACATATATGTCAGCTTGTTATATTGATATTCCCTTCTCCTGAAGAAGCGCTTGTGTGCGCGAAACGTTGAGCAACTGCTCCTCCATTATCAACCACTCCTACAGTATTTATCGTTCTGTACTGTCTTATTATCTCAACTTGATTATGCCCTATTTCTAATATTGTACATTGTCTGGTTCAAATGTTCATGATGTACATTTGTAGTGGAAGGGTGAATGGAGTGAGCATATAGGGAACAATCTAAACCAGCTGATTGCTTTTATGCTTCATATTAGCTTTTTTAATATGAATTACATTAAAATCGATGTTTTACAGTCTATTGTCTGTTGGAGTTGTCATTTGATGCCTAAAACCCCCCAACTTTTCTCTCTTTTTTTGATACCTTATGCCCTAGGGGTGTGGCATCTAGAACCCAGATCCAGGTAAATCATTTTCTAGATTGCTCATTTTGTCTAGGGGACTCAAATAAGGCAGGCCTACTCACCTGATCCTGGGTCCCGCTGCCTCCCGCCAGGCTGCTAGACCGGTCCCCACAGCCTCTTCTCCCCTTCGCTCTGGTGGTCTAAGGACCACTGACATCATCATGTTTTATGCAGTTACATTGACCTGCATTAGATGTGAGGATGCCAAAGGACATTACCTAGCCAGAGTGGAGGGGAGAGAGGTGTGCGCTGACTGCCGTGTGACCAAGGATCAAGTAAAACGGCTTTATTTAAGTCCCCTAGACAAAACAAGCACTTAACCCTTGCAGTGCAGAGGTAGCCCCACTATAAGGGTATGTGTTTTTTTTCTGTGCCCGGAGTTTCTCTTTAACAGTTTATCAGAATGCAGGTCAGAAGCGGCAACAACTGAACGATGTGCTCCAGCATGTGTTTATAATCCCACTGTATCTGTAATGAAGAGATGAAGTAGAAGAACATTACTGGTTCTTTATCTGACCATATAATATTTATGAAATATTGAGATCCTGCAACAAAAGCAGTGGAATTCAGAACAGAATCTCAGTAACATAAGTAACTAAGTTATAATTTGCTAAACTGAAATGTAGACGATCAAAGTCATGGGGAACCTTTGTTTAGAGCAGAGACGAGCTAATATCTCTATCAGGATTTTACTGATGTCTGTGTCTCTGTTGGGTAGATTTCTCCTCAGTTCTATCTTAACAAGCACCATTATTTTTTTTATAACTTTTTATTCGAGATTTTACATGGATACAAAGGCATAAATCGACATAAACATAAGCATGCGTAAAGGGACAGTTCGATGAAAATAAACCATAAAATAGTACAAGATAGCTATCACTCAAACAGCTAGCGTGTAAACCCCCATAAAAAGGAAACAGCGATACCTGTATCCCTAACTAAGAAACAGCCCCAAACAGATAAAACCAGGGCAGAACGAGACTCCTAGGAGAGGCACTGAGCATATAGGAATGAACGCAAGCACCATTATTGGGAATGAGAAGTCTGCTGCAATCTCCCTAAATGGGACAAATACAGAAATAACATAAAACATCACCTTCTAAGTTGATTGTTTGCTGTTTGTGCCCCTGCTGGAAATATTTCTCTTGCCATGTGGCACAGGAAGTGAGGGGATAACTTATGTTTAAGATATGAGGGAGGGGATGCAGAGATTTCCTTTTTTTTTTTTATCAGGGCACAAAGAGAGGAATACTCTCCCCAGTGGGTACAGCAATGAATACCTTTTCTCTATTCAAACCGTAACATCAACAAATGCTTTTTCTTCCACTTTAAAGGGTAGCTGCCATGAGAAAAACAAGGAAGTTGTCATTGCTAACCTCTGCTTCTAAGAAATGCCAGTTGTCATGCTCTGGCCTGGAGCAAGTGTACTGATTAAACTTTTATCAGACTTTCCTGATCTGCATACTTGGTTGTAGTCAGTGACTCTTTAAAGCTGGCCATACACTGGTTGAATTTAAAACCGTGTGTGGCCCCCTCGGAACATTCCTAACCCTCACCCCCATTCAACACAAATCCGTGTTTTTTGGGGGTTTTTTTTGTAAATCGACTTGTGTCAAAGGATCCAGGTCATTGTATTCTGACGGCGGCTGGTATGCTGCTGTCAGAATACCTGAACAGTGACTGCAACCAATCACTTCTCATCAGTACAGTTGCTCTGGACCAGAGGCAAGGGTCGGCAAGGAGAGGTTGGCAATGACAGCGGAGGGAGAAATTCACCCATCCACACTTTTTTTTTATTTTTTCTTGCTCAGCATGCGGGGCAAAACAAAGTTGTGCCAATAGCAGCCAGTCAGATTTAATTTTATGGAAAAAGTTATGAAAATCGAATGATTGATTGGTTTCTATGATCAACAAATCAATCGGAACCGAAGAAAATAAAATCATTAAATTGGAGCAGCCCCTGTTTTCATCTGTGATTCATCCTTGTTATCTGTTCTCATATCATGTATTGCATACAGGAGTTTACACAAAAAACAGGAACTTCCGTTTATACAAATCCTCTAAACTGGGAAAGAATGCCGTGTTTGAATTGGCTGAAGACAACAAGTTTTTCGGCAAGCCCCCCAAGCATGTGTCAGCGGAAGAGCACATTTTCCTCTGCTCTTTAATTAGCAATGTGAGGTAAGGTCAAGTCCTTGTGTTGTCAATCGTTACCACTTTTATTATTATTATTATTATTATTATTATTATTATTATTATATGGTCCTTACCCATAGCAGCCAGTCTAATGGTCTCTTCCCTCTATCTTCCTGCACTTGAACAATATCTGTTTATTTCTTTTTGGCCCAACACAGATATTTCAGTTCACTTTCTCTTATGCATGAGACCTGAATCACTTTACCTTTATTGCCACCTTGTCACCACAGGGTCACTTTTACAAAATAGATCAACTGTAAAAGAAGTGATTGTTTTTTTTGTTTTTTCATGCTTACCTTTCTGAGATCCCATATACTGAAAAGTCACTCCACATCAGATGCAAATATTCAATAATTCCAGGTGTCTAAGATACTTGCTCCCCCTCTGGCCACTGTGGTTCTTCTTCTGGCTCCTGCATCACTACAGGACGTAGGAGCCAGCAATTGAGGAAGGAAATATTTGTTTCATCTGATGTGCAAATACTTGAAGCAGCTGGGGAGCAGAGAAGTGGCTGCTTTTCAATGCAGGGGCCGTCAGTAGGGTAAGCATGTAAACACTTCTTTTATAGGTGACCTGTTTTGTAAAAGTTGGCCTGTAGTGACAGGGTCACTTTAAACCAATATTTCAGGTTTTGATAGAAGCTATTGAGTTCTGTCACCTTCTATTTTCCTGTATCTCTGAGAGCACGAACAATGCCAGGCCTGCACTTGATTTTCCAGCGGCACGCACTAACTTTGTCAATTTAAATCATTTGAAATGATTGAAAATTCAGCAAAAGTGAAACTCTGAGGGTTGGGAGGGTTAGAGGCAAAGCCTGGATCCATGGTGGGGTGATGTTGATACTTGTCTTCCAAGTAAACTAGAAGTAAGGGTGTGATTCAGTTAGCTACCATTCATTCATAAGTAACTAGTACAATTATCAGTTATGGGAGGGCAGACTCTTAGCATTGCATTGAAATTGAACTCCAAGCATTCAGCAAAATACACAGTAAAAAAATACATAGACGCTGTTTTACTTGTTGAAGGCTTTGTTTGTCTGTCCATCCAGGCCTACACAGCTCTGTCACAGCAGAGCCAGGCTGGTGGCCTGCCTTTTCTCTGTTGCAGGTAAGCAATAAAGCTAGGTCAATTCCCTACACATTGTGTGCAAATAGACAGTGAGGGAGCAACAGCAGTTCACCTGTCTACTCACACTGCTCCTTCCTCCTGTCCATGATACTTGTAAAAAAGGTGCATAAACTGCATCTCATTGGCTCCTTGTACTATTCTTCCCTCTCCCAGTCTGCTGTACCAGGATGTGCAAGGTACTAAGTAAAGGTCAAGTAATTACACTAGCTATATTTAAAACACATTTCATTATGTTTAAAACATTTTATAACTGCTTTCAGTGGCATTTTGTGTTATATCTGCCTAGTTTAACTTTAAGAATCCTGTGTTCTGCATTTTTTCACATCAGACCTTATACAGAGCAGTGGAGAAGGCTGTACCATGTCTTGCTTTGTTAATCATTTATTTGTGTGATGTTGGCAAGTTTCTCCAGACTTTTTACGGGAACACAGTTGAAGCAAGCAAGTGTTAACATTTTGTCGGTGTCAGGGCAAATTGTTGCTGTTTAGATAAATCTACTGATATTATTCTATTTATGGAAAGGCTTCTTCTGATTTTGACTGTAAATTTACATTTTGGTTAAAAAAAAAAGAGAAGTAAACAGAAGGTTCCATAGAAAAGTTAACCATATTCACTATTCATTTCTGTAAGAACTATCTTATGTGACATTTGGTGATTAAAACCTGTCATGAGAGAAATATTGAGATAATACACTTCCTAAAGGTGCTTATTGCCTGGCTGTAAGACGTTTCGGTTGTCGATTGCTCTATTATGCCCCTCTGGTTCAGTTATTCAAAAATGCTTTGCTAAAGACACCGTTTGTGAGTATTTTTTCATTTTGTTTTTATTATAGACCAATAAATTGGAATTATACAAGAAGGCGCTGTTCTTCTTTCTTTCTTGTTTTTAAATGTTATAAATTGAGTTGCAGTTCAGTGAATAAAATAAGTATTTGATCTCCAAGCAAAACATGACTTGGTACTTGTGGAGAAACCCTTGTTGGCAAGCACAGAGGTAAGACGTTTCTTGTAGTTGGTTACAAGGTTTGCACGCATCTCAGGAGGGATTTTGGTCCACTCTTCTTTACAGATCTTCTCTAAATCCTTAAGGTTTCTTGGCTGTCGCTTAGCAACTCGAAGTTTCAGCTCCCTCTATACATTTTCTGTAGGATTAAGGTCTGGAGACCGGTTAGGCCACTCCATGACCTTAATGTGCTTCTTCTTTAGCTACTGCTTTGTTGCCATGGCGGTATGTTTTGCGTCATTGTCATGCTGAAAGACCCATCCACTGCCCTTCTTCAATGTTCTGGTTGAGGGAAGGAGGTTCTCATCAAGATTTTACAATACATGGCCCTGTCCATTGGTCCCTCAATGCGGCAAAGTCGGCCTGTACTTTTATCAGAGAAACAGCCCCAAAGTATAATGTTTCCACCTCCGTGCTTGACTGTAGGGATGGTGTTCTTAGGGTCATAGTCAACATTTTTCTTCCTCCAAACACGGCGAGTCCAGTTAATGCCAAAGAGCTCAATTTTGTTCTCATCTGACCGTGCACTTTCTCCCAATCCTTCTCTGAATCATTTAGATGTTCATTGGCAAACTTCAGACAGGCCTGTACATGTGCCTTGTTGAGGAGGGGGACCTTGTGGGCGCTGCAGTATCTCAATCCATGGCGATGTATTGTGTTACCAATGGTTTGTTTGGTGACTGTGGTCCCAACTGCCTTGAGATCATTCACAAGCTCCTCCCGTGTAGTTCTGGGCTGATCCCTCACTTTTTTTTTTTTTTTTTGATCTTCCTTTCTCCATGAGGCAAAATCCTGCATGGAGCTCCAGACCGAGGGCAGTTGATGGTTATTTTGTATTCCTTCCATTTGTGAATAATCGGTCCCACAGTTGTTTCCTTCTCACCAAGCTTCTTGCTGATAGTCTTGTAGCCCATTCTAGCCTTGTGCTGGTCTACAATCTTGTCCCTAACGTCCTTTGACAACTCTGGTCTTGCCCATGGTGGTGAGGTTTGAATGGAAGAAAGAGATTCTGTGGACAGGTGTCTTTTATGTAAATAACGAGTTGTCGTTAGGAGCACCTTCTTAAATTGACAGGACTAATCTGTGTACCACATAGCCAGTCTGTGGGAGCCAGAATTATTGTTGTTTAGTAGGGGATCAAATACTTATTTTACTCACTGAACTGCAACTCAATTTATAACATTTGTATCATGTGTTTTTTCTGGATTTTTGGTTGATATTCTGTCTCTATCTCTAATACATGATAAAAAATGATAGACCTTTCATTTCTTTGTAAGTGGGCAAACTTACAAAATCTGCAGGGGATCAAATCATTATTTTCCTCACTGTATAGGTCGCAAAATACAAGGAGTAAAATACAATTTTAGAATGTGTTTTGGGTTTTTAAAAAAACTTTTTTCCTTTTTTACATTTTTAGAAACGTTATTTTATTTTTTAAACTAGGGGGCACTAAGGGTTTTTTTTTTTATTTGCAGGGGCTTTGATACTTGATATCTCTGAGGAGAATATGGTATTCTCCTCAGAGATACTTTTGTATCACTTTTTGTAATACACAGCCGGCTAGCTGTTTACAAAACACAGTGAGCTGCTGCTGGCTTTGTGACTGTCATGGCTCTGCGATCACATGGATCAGCTCTCGCTGTGATCACAGGACTGTGACCACCTAATCTGTTGAGGGTCTGCCTCAGACCCCAAGGGACCCATCAACAGCAGTAACTTAATGAGGGTTGGTTCCTTCATGGGCCAGCGCTTATTGTACCGAATGATGGGATTATCCCTTCACCGTTCGTTAACTAACTGAACGATCATGGCGGCATAATCCCATCGTCGGTCTGGAAGGGGTTAAACAGGTTTCTTTTGTGCCAAGCACATGCGCAAAACAATATGTTTCCTAAATGGTAACCACATTCACAGTTGTGAATGGTATGCTGTCAATTTGTGCCCATTAACCATAAGAAAATCGAAGACAGATTCTGGAGATAATTTTTTTTAGAAAAAAATTCTACTGGTATACGGCCAGCTTTAGTGGGAGATGAGGAGTCTTTCCTGAAGAGTAAGAAAGTCCGATCACCTATTATGCACATGTAATATAACAGTATATACTGTATATTCCCTATATTTTATATATTATGACTTACTGTACTTTGCCCTATCAGATAAGACTCCTTCTGTTGAATTTACTACATCCCTAAATTGTACAGCCCAAGGACCCATTTGCACCACAGTGCAGCGTCCACATTTTCATGCCTTGACATGCATTGCGGAGTGTTGCATTAGGCAGTCCATTTAGAATGAGTGGGCTGCAATGTACCTCAAAACATGAAAAATAGGTGCGGCCTGCAATTTTTGCGGCGCAGTGCTGTGGCATTTTGGAGGTACATTGGAGTGCCATTCACAGCGAATTGCACCACAGCGCACTAAAACATGCAACTTGTGTTACCATAACACAAGTGGTGTCAATAGGCCCTAAGACAGGGGTGGGTGAACTCCAGTCCTCCAGTTGTGGTGAAACTACAAATCCCACCATGCATCTATCTGGGGGTCATGCCCGTGGCTGTGAGAATCATGCAATGCCTCATGGGATTTTTAGTTCCACAACAGCTGGAGGGTTAGAGTTTGCCCACCCCGGCAATACAAGAAGAGACAATGATGAGTCTCGCTTGGGTCTTGGTTAGACACATCAGTGATGTGCAGGAATGTATCCACAAGCATGAGGGACATCCTCTTTTAGCTATTCAGGAATGGCAATGATCCTGGCAGGCAGTACAGAGATATAATCAGACATGGGGGCTGTATGACATCATCAGATGTGTGGGCAATGTACACATTTACTAACACTTATTAAATCTTAAAGATTTACAGACTGCTTAAAAATCTTGACCTGTACCAGCCCGAGTGACAGGAATGGAAGTGGTCGTGTCAGCTCTGGAGGATCCCTTATTTCAGGTATTGCTGTGTAAATGTTGGCGCTATCTGGTAGGTTTTCTTTACCAGCATGTTTACACATAACTTTTACAATTTGAGTTTTACTACTACAGCTGAAATGTCGTCTTTCTAGTTCAACATGGCCACTCCTAGCAGCAAGTTTATGCCCTTTAGTCATGGTATTTACAAGTGATTTTCACAAACTTCATACATAAGCCAGTTAGCATTAGCTTGGCTGAATACTATTATGCTCGAGGAAAGCAAATTTTGTATTCTTCTGAATTGTATGTGAACCCTGCGTTTCTCAATAATGGCAGGTTTAGTGCAGGCATACATTATAATTATGCTGTAGGTTTTGTGGAGAAAAAAAAACCTAACAACCGAATATATGCAGCAGGACACGCTACCGGACTAAAGTGTCTCTCCACACAATCCTGAAGAAGTGGCCACGTTGGAGCATGATTTAAAGGAAGAACTGACACAGAGCATAAAATGATGGGATCAACTGTTATTTAGTAAAAGAGAAGTAAAGCCAAACAACGTTTTTAGTCACAGGACGGTGACCAATGCCTGATATCAGCTGACAGAACAGAGCCGTGCCTCAGTAGAGAAGGATCCTGACAGTACTGTTGGCATCCACCATGGCAGCTGGCTCTGCCTCTCTCCATACGACTGAGAGCAAGCCATGCCCGTCCCATCCCCTGTCTGTTCTCCAGCCAACCAGAGAGGGGAGGGAGGAAACCTTGCAGGGGACAGGCACTGACGGTCACTACTCTCTGGTGGGAGCAGAGACCAAAAACTGATTGATCAGTGGTCATGTTCTCAGTCTAGAATCTGCGTGTGACAGCTACAGTAGCTGGGAGAGTATGTTTACTCTCCCCCTCTTTTACTTTAAACATAAGCTCACAAAAAAAATTCAATATCTGCATTTACAGAATTGTTGTATTTGGGGTTACATACACAAAATATTTTACAGATGTGGCAGTGCAGTTTCCTTGCATCCTAATTCATCCCCATTGATAACACCTAAACCTTTCTGGAGTGACCAGATGTTTTAGTATGGCTTAATATGCAGAGCAGTACACAAAATCAGAGTAAACTGGTATGTCATATTGTTGTAGACATTGGAACTGTGGATGAATAAAATATGAAAATGTTAATGGCAGCATTAGCTATCAGAACTTACTGGCTTCTTCAGACAATCCCTGCCCGGTATCAGGGAAGGTAAAGGAGCATTTGGGCGAGTACGAGTACTGGGTATCGGTACCAATACTGATACATTTTTGGGTGCAACCCTAGTAATAGATGATATTCTAACCAATAAGGTACATATTTGAGTAATAGAAATAGAGGTGTATATGATAATGTGATATCTGTAAACAATATATTATAATAAGTCATTTGATAATAATGGAGAATAAAACAGAAATAGTTGGAGAATACAGGAAGTGAAATGCGTAGGGTCAAAGAGGGGGAAGAAAAGGAAGCCTTGGACAGAGCATTGTAAAGAAAGAGAGAGACATAGTAAGAGAGAAAGGAAAATAAAATGAGAGAAAGGTCCATGCTCCCCATCCAACCCAGAGTCCCCACCTATGGCCCATAAAGATGAGAAGGAGGAAGATAAAAGTGAGTGGGGAAAATCCTTTGTGCGCCAGGCGGACCAAGTTTTTTTCAAATCAGGTTGAAGATGTCATGTATGCATCTGTAAAAGTCCTGAGTAGAGGGTGGTAGCGGTTGCTTCCATTTCAAGGAAATAAGACCTCTAGCAGCAGTCCGTACATGTTAGCTAATTTGATAAACTGAGTAGATTTGAGAAGGGGAAGACCAACAAGCAATAGATGGGATCCAAAAGCACCAAGGTATCTAGTAGGTCTCCAGGCAAAGACATTACTTGATTCCGGAATCCACAAATATGGGAGCATTCCCATGGTTGCCATTTTCTGACCTCACTGCCACCTGTCCTCAAAAAAAATAAAAAGTACAACACATTATAGAACAGGCATGTTTTGCTAATTGTAGTTATTTGTGTCAAATGGTGAGTGTTCTATGTACATGAAAGGTACAGTATTCGTTGCTCCATGCTAAAAAGCATGATCTTGATAATGTGAAGTGTTTTACGTAGGACATTGGGCGGGGGCTGTTACATACAATTTTGCTAATTCATCCTACCAAGTAGAGTCAAAACAGCAAACAACGTTTGCCCCATAGTGTAACAATGCTGTTCCCTCTTCACCAGGCAGTGTCATGAATGGATATCAGTCTTCACCCTATCCAGAAATTGATCAATTCATATGGTCACTTGTCACAAGAGAAGGCTTCCAAGGAGGTATGATTCCTGAGCTTTGGGCTATTTATAACAAATGTTACCTTATACTTCCAGTCTTTTCTGCCAGTTATTACTAAATGGCATTCCCCCATTGAATGTTTATACATCAGGCTCTGCATGTTCAGATTGGAGTGCTCCAGATGCTATACAGGTCAATGTGTAACTCTGTATAGCTGTACTGTGGATTGGAATGTTGATTGTACATATGTAAGGGACCCTGTTCTTTTCCCATTTCTGACTGGAAATATATGATTGTTTCTGGGGATTAACATAATCTACTTTTCTGGTTGTTCATATATTAAAGCCACAATGAAGGGAATTGATCAAAACTGGAGCAGACAGAATCTGGAGCAGTTGCCTATAGCAACCAATCGGCATCTCTCTTCCGTTTGCTCAGGTAAGATTTGAAAATGAGACAAAGAAGCTGATTGGCTGCAGTGCAAATCTGCTCCAGGTTTGATAAATTCCCCCCAATGTGTTTATAATAATCATAGACTTAGGACATTGTTATGAGAACTCAATATTTATACTTTGCTGCAAAATGAAGTTTGCTAATTGTTTTTGGTGCATTTTATTTGCATGTATTGTTTGTGGAATAATAATGTCAATAAACCTTTTTATTTGTACACAAATATTGTGTTTTTCTTTTCTTCTGTATTTGGAATAGGTATTCGGCAGTGGAACTACTTTGCTTCAGAGGAGTTGCTTGTTTATGACACTGCCAACTACCGCTGGTGTGAAAACATATGGCGGGCTCACAAAAGCAATAATGTCATGTAAGTGGTTCTTGCTTAAAAATGTATTCACCTGCCTAAGACCCGTCTGAAATAAGTGCTATTATATTGTGGTATAGTGGAGGATAGAAACATTGCTATGTTTTCTAGTAGTACCTCCGCCTTTTGTAGAAATGATTAGCATTGGTTTCTGTATAAGCATTATACAGGATGAAAACTACATTTTGGATAGAAGTTAGAACTCAAAGCACAAGTTGGGCATTCAATGGATACCGGCACCTGCAGCGTAAAGTAATTTGGGGTATATAAAGAGCCGAAGTAGATTGAAAAAATGTAAGCAGTATGGAATACTTGATGCAGTATAATGCCAGTTTAGAATTCGCCAGCTTCCAATGTCCTGAGCCCTTAGTGACCACATAACACCTCTGTCTTTTGTCACCTGCTTTTCCCTAGCATGCACTTAAAGGAGAGCTATGAGGTGATTGATTTCCAGATTTCCACTCATCCTCATAGTTAGAGGCAACCTGTGACAAAGAAGCTGTCACAGGTCGGCTCTATTGATCGGGAAGTAAGCGAACACATACCGTCGCTCTCTCATTTTCTGATCATCTCCCCGCAGAGAGTGGTGACTGTCAGTCACCGCTCCCCGCAAGGATTCCCCCCCCTCCCCTCTCCAATCCTCCAGCTCTGAGTGGAGGAACGGACGGGGAAGGGGACGGGCACAGCTGGCTCTGCCTCTAGATAGGCAGAGCCATGTGTCACTCACACAGCTGGGTGGATATCAGTATTGTCGGGATCCATCCCGGCTGCGGCACTCTCAGTATATCGCAAGTAATAGCCCAAGATATACTGAGCTTTGGGTCACGGGAGGAGGTTAGTAAATGTCCTCCCGTGACCCTAAAGAGAACTATGGGGAAAACCACTTACCCCATAGTTCTCTTTTAATGACACAAGGTGGAATGGTCTGTGGTTTGCTGTACATTACAATGTGTGGCATAACCTGCCCTTCTGCATCCTATGATATCACCAGGTGGGGTAAGCAGAATAAAGAATAGCACCAGCATATGTGCCCAATCTGGTATCTACTACTACTACATTTTTTGTTGTAGGCATACAGCAGCACAAAAGTCCCGTTATTTGACTTTTGGCTTTTCCTACTTGTATAAGCAAAGTCATAGCATCTTGCTATGATCATAATTATTCATTCATTGCTTAGGTGTCAGTGGAGTATTTGCTGGGTTTCATTAATGCAAATGAATTTATTTCTGACATTGGGATCAGGAAAGCTATCAATAGTAACCAGTCAGATTTTAGCTTTCACCATTTTTTTAAATCCGACTAGTAAGTGCTGATTTTTGATTATTAGCTTCTTGACTTGACAAATGTTATGTAATACCCAATTTAGCCTTGGTCATTTGGTCGTGTGCCTGACTGAAGGTTTGTTAGTATCCGGCAGCATATGCAAAGTTGCTATAAGCATTGATTGTTTTACCACAATGCATGCATTGCAGAATGGGAGGAGGGGTCATTTTTATTTTAAAGGGGAACTGGTGGCCAAAACTTTTATTATTCCTAGTTGTAATAGTGTGGCCCATAAAATGTCTTTTCACGTGTAGCGATGTCTGCATTCACACTGCCTTGCATGTTTGGCAGCCTCTATTATTTGTATGATCATTGCCTCACTCTGTTCACTATGATTTCATTGTTCCACGTGTCTGCAGGCTTCTAGTGGATCTGAAGAGAGATGTTTGGTATCAGAAATGCCACGATCCAATTTGCAGGGCACAGAACTTTAAGTCTAATAGTAAGTCCTGTTTGTCATGTCAATTCGCTTGTTTTTTCAGTTTGTTAATCAAATATAAACTACCAGCATATTTTGTGATGAATTGTATACAGTATGCAGTGGTGTATTTGAAATATGTTTGGCAGCTGCTCTGTTCCTGTATGATCATCATTGCTGTGCTTTGTTTTTATGACAGGTTATCCTTTACCTTCTGAAGTATGTCTTCCAACCATTTTTAAAGAGGTATGCTTATGTTAATGGTAGCTGTTTAAATCTCTTTGATGTGGTACTGTATATCCCTACCTAGTCTAACAAATAATGTTTTCTGTAAGACCGCCAAAATAAAAATAAAGGTTGGAATAGAGCAGTCCCACAACAGAATGTGCACCTATCAAGTGATTATTATTTTTGTTGTGTAGAGAGGGTAAGCCCTCAGCAGCTTTGTCCGTCTGTTCAGTGCTGTCTGAAAGTGTTTGGTGTAGAACAGTAGAGGGGTCAGATGCCCCCAGATCAAAGGCTCCATCATGGTTGCAACTGCTCCACCTCCTATTGCTACACTAGAGACTGTTAAAACAAAAGTAAATAATTTAAGCAAACAAACCACATGTATTTTGTCCTTTTAATAAATGACTCCAGGAAGCCCAAAAGTAAATCGCCATGAGTGGCCAATGTTCATGGTAGTTTACATTCACTTCATGGCAGAGGTAGCACTACCACATTTGCAGCTTTAGCTTGCTATGCATTGTTTGAATTGCAGCTGTCAGTCCCATAGAAGTCTATGGGGCCAGCTACTGCAGTTCAGAGAATGGGTTTTCATTAAAGGATGTCACAGACAAATATGAATGCACTTAGCAAGTTCTTCAGGAGTTCTTCTTTAACATCATAATTCTCTATATGGGATGTTTTGCCCTTTTGGGACTTTTTTTTCTAGAACAAATGTAGAGATGTTGCTAGCCAGATTGGTTTGATTTTCCCAACTTGTGTTGTATCACTTGTAGCTGCAGACTTAGAAAACCACCTACAATATGTTTTCATTGATTTGCAGTACATTTTGTAGGTATTTGCCATCTATGATCTTCAACAAACGTATGTTCTTTACACCTGATTGTGACTAATCTCCAATGGGTATTTATTAGAGGTGCACCGAAATAGAAATTTAAAAACCGAAACCGAAAATTGAATTGTCAGGCTGAAACCGAAAATGTTTTTATTTTAATTTTTTCAATATTTAATTTTAATTTATTTTTTATAAAGGGGAAATATTAGGGGTCTAAACCGACCTCTGATATTTCCCTTTTAAAATAGAAAAAGAGATTGAGTCCTCAATCTCTTTCTGCAGCCCCTGTTATCAATGAACAGGAATCCTCTATGAGTGCTCCTGGTCATTGATAACATGAGGACATGGTATGTATAGTATAACTACAACTATGAATGAACAGGAGGGGATGTAGATCACTTCCCATTCATTCATAATTGAGGATATAGTACACATACCATGTCCTCAATTATCGACAAACACTCACTGATCACTGAGTGTTTGTACCGCTCTCCTTCCTGACAGCTGTCACAGGAGGCTGAGCGAGCGGAGCAGGAGGAGACCCCAGCCTCCTGTGACAGCGCGGCCTGTCTCCGCCCCCCACACCGCTCTGCCGGACTGTGAAAGGCGGCTGAGCGGTGTGGGAGGAGAGACACCGGCCATTCACAGCACTCTCTTCCCGCAGTGCTCGGCCGCCTGTGACACTTTCTCTCCTCCCCTCTGGGACACAGAGCAGTGACCGGCGGGGAGAAAGAAACCTGGGATGCGCCAATGTATCCGCAGGAAAATGGCACTTTCGGCATTTAGCCAAAAGTGCCATCTTCGGCCGATATGTTTCAGCGGCCGTTATATCGGCGCATCCCTAGTATTTATAATAACTGTAAGGTAACGCAAACACTATCCTATAACAAAAGGTGCTCTCAGGAGTACATGAAAGAAAACTAGAAGCTTTGCCAAAGGACAGTTTATATACATAGCTGGCTATACACTGAGAGAATTTGACCAAGAAGCGGACTAAATTCACTCTGGGTGCTTCTGTCTGCAGCCTCCTGCCAAACATTTTCAGTTTTATGAAAAGAAGCAGCCGTGCGAAAAGTTGTTGGCTGAACAGCGCCTGTATGCAGTCATATACAAGCACTGTGCAGGTATTTTGAAAGCGGGCAGGGCTGACTGTCAAAATATAATAGCCATGGGAGGAGATTCCTCCATTCATACGGTTTGGCGTAGAGGAAGAATCTGTTAGATTTTTTTTTTTATTTTGCCCAAAAGCTGGAGAAAAAAAATCTACTAGTGCATACCAATCTTTAGTTTCTTCCAGCTGCTCAGAGTGGCTGCTGACCCACTTCAGAAAATGCTGGTTGAATCACTGACCCAAAGCAAGTAAGTAGATCAAGGCAAGAGGGTCAGCATGAGAGCCAGGTAGCTAGCATTTTCCGATGGATAGGTCAGCAAAGGTAGTAGTCCCTGTATTTCTCTTTGTTAGGTTTCTTTTGAGTGGAGAGTCTTGTTCTTCTAAATTCCCATTTCTGAGTGATTCTCTTCAAACTGGTGCAGTGCTAATTGTGACCACTAGAGGGGGACATTTAACTGCAAAATTGTAGGGATTTTGTCTTGGCTAATATCCTACGTGGCAAAACGTTTGAGGATGTCTGCCGATCCCCCATTGTTTATTGAGTTTGTTGTGGAGAAGCTCAAGTTGCCTGCACAGAGCGCTCACCTCAACCCTACTGAATAGCTTTGGGAGTGTGAGTCAAGGCTTCTCATCCAACTTCAGTATCTCACCTCACAAAAGCTCTTTTGGCTTAAAGGAGAACTATGGGGAAAGCGTTTTTCCCCATAGTGCTCCTAAGGGTCACGGGAGGACACAAAATAGTGTCCTCCCGTGACCCAAAGCTCAGTATACGGCGAGCTACAGCTTGCCGTATACTGAGACCGCTGCAGCCGGGATGGATCCTGACATTACTGTCCAGATCCACCCAGCTGGGTGAGTGACAGCTGGCTCTGCCTATCTAGAGGCAGAGCCAGCTGTACCCGCCCCCTCCCCCGTCCGTTCCGCCAGTCAGCGCTGGAGGATCGGAGCGGGGAGGAGGGGAATCCCTGCTGGGAGCCGTGAGTGACAGTCACGGCTCTGCAGGGGCAGGATCGAGAAGGGAGCGAGCGGCGGGATGTGTTCACTCACTTCCCGATCTATTGAGCTGACGTGACAGTTTCATTGTCACAGGTCGGCTTGAACTATGAGATGAGTGAAAATCAGTCACCTCATAGTTCTTTAATGGGCACACATTTCAACGGACACCCTCTAAAATCTTGTAAATAGCCTTCCCAGAAGAACGGAGACTTTTTGTGGAGGTTGGAGACCAAGTCTAAATGAATGAACATGGTTTTGGGACGAGATGTTCAATAAGTTCACATAGGTGTGATGACCAGATGCCCTGAAACTTTTGGCTGTATAGTGTAAGTTAACACAACTATTCTGCACTAGATCCCTTTGTAGCTTCCTTGGTAAATCTTCCTCAGTCTCTTTTTATTTCTTATAAACATAAAATGTCTTGTAGGAAGATGAAGACTGTTGTCTTGCAATGGATGAAAACGGGAACATTAAGAAGACACAACAGTTGGCTATTCACACAAAACAACATCTGTCAGGAGAATCAGAAGAGCAGATCGGGACTTGTGAACCGGACTGGGATGATTGCATTGATGATGCCTGTATGCTGGAAGCTGCTGAGGATGCAGAATTGGCTGACATCGTGGATCACAGCCTTTCTGAATGGAATTTGGAACGCGCTGATATTCCAGATGAACTACTTTTGGAAGCCATGGGTGATCAGGACACCTCAGTAGAACAATAAATCAATGTTTTCTCCGCATGAAGTCACAACTGTTTGTGATTTATGTACTGAATGATTGTTTATTGGAGAAGCACCAAGTGAATGGATATCAGGACGCAGGAGCATGAAGACTGGACTTCAAAGCTTTGAAACTGTGCACATGTATGCACTTTATAATGTATCCTTCTTTTAATAGACCCCTCTTTTTTATTTTCTTATGTGTTTTTACATTTTACAGAATTCTGTAGTTATTTGAAGAAGTACAATGTTCATAAGGCGCCTAATGCAGGTATGAGGGGCAGTTCACGTATTTGTCATAAAATAACAATCTCTAATGGTGAATGGTGATTACCGCTACATTGTACAAAGATTATTTGGGTGGTTTGTTATTAATAGCTGGACTCTAGCATAGAAACTTTCAGTTTAATATATTCCTTAGAAGCCACAGAGGATATACATTTGCTTTGTGTGCCCCAAATGCCTTTGCAAACTCGGATTTTACCTTCAAATGCAATGACCTCATCACTGTGCAGAGGAGCAGAGCTGTGGGGGGTGCCCAGCAGGTCCACTCACTACAAGCTTCTACAAATAAACTTTTTTTTGCAGGAAACTTGCATTGGGGCAAAGTGCAATTGTTACATGCTGGTAAACTGCACAGATCTGGAAGAAATATACACAAAGGACACAAAAGCATTCAAGAAAAATCCACATGGCTTGTACTAAAGGGGGCCAAACACTGCACAGATTTTGACTGGATCTAGATGAACCGGCCTACATTCGCACAGTGGGTGCCGCTTTGGGCCGGCCTTCCTCAATCAGCTAATCAAATGAGCCGGTTGGAAAACCTTGAACTGAACAGAGATGACAGCCAATCACTTGCCGGCTCTGTTCGGGTATTTTGACAGAGGCCAGTGGCCACTGTCAGAATACAATGAAGACAGTGTGAGATTCCTCGATCAATGCTCGTAAGTGTGCTCTGCATGCTGATTTGAAATCAGCTTACATTCATTAGCTAAACAAACTTCTATTTTTATTTTACTTACAATTTTTTTTCCTGGTCCACTTTGACACAAATGATGTAATCGTGGCCAAGCTTTGCTTCCTGGTTGGAATCGTTTTTTTAATTATTATTATACAGGATTTATATAGCGCCAACAGTTCGCAAAAAATGGTTGAGACAGTACAATTACAATACAATTTCAGTGCAATAGGTTTATTGCTCGGGAGAGATTACAATCTAGTAGATAGTAGTACATCAGCAGAGCATTGCTGGGAAATCTCATGAGATCTCAGGGAAAGGCACTTTCATCCCCTGAGATAATGTACATGGTTCACATGTCTAGTCACATGTGCCAGAGTTCCATGAAGTATGCAGAGATACTGTATATGAATCCCCTTAGTAAACATGGCCACTGTGAGAAGACTGGGGAAGAAAAGAGAAATAAGGGATGCAGAGAATACAAAGCCGGCAACTATCTAGAAGTATGTGTTTGTAGATTGTCATTACTGAACATTTCTAAAGGTGTGTTTGTTGTTATTTTGAAGATGTGGGTAACGTTCCTCTTTAAGACTTCCAAGATGTGAGAAGTGTTCGGCCTGCAAACCTTTGTGAACTGCTATGTGTAGAGTCAACATTTAAAAAAAAGAACACACAGATGTGGACATCACCCTTGACAATCACAGTACAAAACTCTTCTTCCATTTTTGGTGTGGGTTTTAGTTGCGGTATAGCACACTAAAGACCCCACCATGAGCCCTGTGGCCCCTTTACACCTTTCCGCTCTGGTGTGCTTTTTAATGCTGGTGCGATAATGCATGCTCAGCATCTCTATTCGTATCATTTGAATGGGCTGCTAAGAACGAACAGAAAAAAAAGCACCTGCCCCTTTTTTTCCAACACAACGCACGGTAAAGGGTTCCACAGGTAATACAAGCGTGTTGGGTTGCCTTTGAAAATAAATGCACGCACTAATGTGTGTAACAATGGGAAGGGGCTCGGTGCGTGCTTTTGCTTTTCTTTTAATTTACTGAATGTTTTAATAGAGCAATATTGGGCAGTTTGCAGTGCTGTGTAATGTCTGTTTCCATTATGATCACACAATCTTAACCACTTGACTTCCGCGGTGTTAAACCCCCTTCCCATCCAGGCCATTTTTCAGTATTCAGCGCTGCGGTACTTTGACTGACATTTATTCAGCCATACAGTGCTGTACCAAAATGAATTTGATACCATTTTGTGGGGACAGATAGAGCTTTCTTTTGGTGGTATTTAATCACCACTGGGGTTTTAATTTTTTACTATATTATGGAAAAAGTACAGAGAATTTTGAAAAAAAGCTTTTCCCTGTGTTGAGCTATGAAAATTTGCACATAAATAATCTTTCTTCATAAATATAGACCAAAATGTATTCTGCTACATTTCTTTGGTAAAAAAAAAAAAAGTGTAAATTAATTACAAACTCTTCTGTTTTTTTGACTACCTATCACATTTTTGGAGGCCCTGAAGTACCAGTAGAGAATAAACACCCACAAAATGACCCCATTTTGAAAAGAAGACACCCAAAGGTATTTGATAAAAAACATGCTGAGCCTTTTGAAGATTTCATTTTTTGCCACATAATTTTAGAAAATGAAGAAAGAAAATTTAATTAATTTTGTTTTTTACACAAAGTTGACAATTTATATGATATTTCTAACACACAGCTTTGACATCCTTAGAATAACACCTCAAAACACATTCTACTAATCCTCCTGAGTATGCGGATACCACACATGTCAAACTTTTTTTGCAGCCCAGCCACATAGAGGGGCCCAAAATCCAAGGAACACCTTGCTTTCAAGGGGCATAAATTACATATTTGATTCCCTGACTACCTATTGCGTTTTTAGAGGCCCTAACGTGCCAGCGCAGCAGAAACACCCACAAAATGATCCCATTTTGGAAAGCAAGTCCCCCAAGGTATTTAATAAGAGGCATGGTGAGTTTTTTGACAACTTCACTTTCCTGCCAAAAGTTTTTAGAAAATGAAGAAAGGAAAAAAAAAATATCTACACAAAGTTGTGACCTAAACACGATATAGCTAACGCACAGCATAGAAATCCTTAGAATTACACACCAAAACAAATTCTGCTACTCCTCCTGAGTATGGGTTTACCACACGTCAGACTTTTTTGCGGCCTAGCCACATAGAGGGGCCCAAAATTCTAAGGAGCACCATGATAACCTACAGGAAGCTGAACAAAGGGTAAACAAAACACTACCCGTGGTTCCAGAAGTGCAGTTGTCAGCAAAGGATGGCTGGGACTGGTGTTTTCGCTGGAACATTGTCAGGGGGACATGCAGATGGATCACTACAAGCAGCAGACAGATCAGTTCAGGCGGCAAGCAGAGACCTGGTCAGTATACCAGTACTTTGATCTTCTGGTTGCCAGGTAGGGCTGCAGCATCTGGTCATTAAAATCTACACCACCCATATGCAGATTATATTCCTGGATACAAAGAGGCTTTGGCAACACACCATAATGTCCCTGAACTTCCACTGAGGTATTTGGGTGTATAGATGAAAGTACATAAACGTCCCGTTTGTCCTTCCATTTAAGGGCTAAAAGTTCGTCATTCCTCATACTGGCTGACTCCCCCCTTTTCAGTTTCTTGTGGACTAAATTTTGGGGAAAGCCAATGTGATTTGGTCACTTTGTACCACAGGCTGGGGTTTTTTGGAGGAAGAGATGCTTGAACAGCGGCACACTTGCATAAGAATTGTCCCCATAGAGATGGTATCCCTGATGAAGTAAGGGTGATAGTAGGTCCCACACAATTCTTCCACTGCTTCCAATGTAAGATAGGCATCCAGGGGGCTCCAGCTGGCTATCTCTCCCTTCATACACACGGAAATCGTATGTGTAGCCAGATCTTCTTTCACAAAGTTTGTAAAACTTCACCCCATACCTGGCACGTTTACTGGGGAGATACTGCTTTATAGAGAGCCTGCCTGTAAAATGTACAAGGGATTCATCTACGCAGATATTTTGCTGTGGGGTATATATTTGTGAAACTTTTGTGGTGAAAAAATTGATAAGTGGCCTAATTTATTGGAGCTTGTCAGTTCTGGGGTCACTTCTGGGAGGGCAAGTTGAATTGTCACAGAAATGGAGAAACCTCATTAGCATTGTATATCTGGTCCTGGACATGGTAGCAGAGTACAGGGGCTTGTGGTGCATTGGCTGTGTGGACCAATATGACTGAAGTAAATTTTTTTTGGCGAGTCCCATGTTCAGCGTTAGACCGAGAAAAGTTTTGAATTCAGGAACAGTGAGAGGTCTCCACTCAAATGGTCTGGCATAGCAGGAATTGGGATTGGTTGCAATACATTGTTGGTAGTAAAGATTTGTTTGGTCCACAAATAAACTGAAAAGTTCTTCAGTAAAAAAACAATTAAAAAAAATTGGATAGCTGTAAGATTCTGACGTAGAGGGTAGCCACAATGGATTTGAAAGTTCCTCTGGCACACTAGTACGTGCTCTCTGGGGCCTAATTCTGGGTGGCTGATGATGGATTACCGCACTACTGCTGCTTGCAATTTGATGAGGATGCAGTGCTAGTGCTTGCCTGCTGCATTTCAGCTGGATGTGTGATGACTGGCACAGCACGCCTGGCTCTTTTAGATGGGACAACTTCAGAATCAGAGGTGGATAATGAACCGCTACTTTCCACAGGTTCATACTCTGATCCTGAATCTGACTGTGAGGTTTCTCCATCACTCTCATCACTTACACTAAGAATTTGAAAGGCCTCCTCACTAGTGTAGGTTTGTTTTGACATTTTTGGTGGTGGCTTTACTTTTCTTGTACTTACAAAGCTGGATGTCACTGGTACTTCTGCTCGCTGGTGATCAGGACACTGATTATGGCTTCAACAGTGCTTACTGACACTGTACTGGCACTACTGAATTGGCAATCAGGATACTGGTTGTGGTTGTGGTTGTAAAAGTAACAGCTGACACCGTGCTGGTGCTGCTACTAATCAGGATACTGGATGTGGCTGTAACAGTACATGCTGGAAACCGTACCGGTAAAGC